TTCACTCACCTCAGCCTCCCAAAGGCGTGGGATTACAGGCTGAGCCACTGAGCCCAGCTACGCACAGCTGATTTTTAAATTTATTGTAGAGATGAGGTCTCGCCAAGTTGCCCAGGCTGGTCTGGAACCCGTGGACTCAGGCAATCCTCTCGCTTCCACCTCCCAAAATACTAGTATTGCAGGTGTGAGCCACCGTGCCCAGCCTCAATTGTCTTCATCTGTTAAATGGGTATAAGTAATCTGTGCCACTTCCAGTACTGTTACGAAGAATAAATAAGTTGTATGTCAAGTGCCCAATACATAGTAGACACTAAAAAACTACATATACTAGGATATAAATAGTGGTGGGGAAGGCTTTGCACTTAGGGGCTTCTGGCTACTAGCTAAGGAAAAGATGAATTATAGAGAGGTCAAGAGTTGTGGCTCTAAGATGCTTTTAAGATTCCAAAACAGGCTGGGCTCGGTGGCTCAGCCTGTCATCCCGCGCTTTGGGAGGCCGAGGTGAGTGAATTGCCTGAGCCCGCGGGTTCGAGATCCGCCTGGGCAACTTGGTGAGACCTCATCTCTACAACAAATCAAAAATTAGCCGGGCGTGGTAGCACACGCCTGTGGTTCCAGCTACTTGGAAGGCTGAGGCGGAAGGATCGCGAGCCCAGCAGGTCGAGGCTGCGGTGGCCAAGAGCGGCTACTGCACTCTAGTCTGGGCGAAGGAGTGAGATTCTGACTCAAAAATAAAAATTAAAAAAAGACTCCAAAACATTTTAAACCTGATCTTTTGTCATTTCTGTTATCTCTTGGGTCTATTTCATGGAAGAAAAAAAAGCGAACTTTAAAATGAAAAGTTTTCCTTAGGACTATCAATGTAAAGAAAAAGTTACCCCAAATTTGATGTGGGATAGAGCCTTTTTGCCTGATATAATTTATAACTTTCTTCTAAGAGGAAATAAGTGTTCTTGAAAAAACATAAGCAAATTTTTGTGTGAGTTTACATTTTCTTGGGAAGCTAGGTCTCTTCCCACCAGCTGTCAGTGAAGAATCTAGTGACCTTTAACCAGAATTATTCTTTTCTTTTTTCTTTTGTTTCTCTAACTAATCTTGTCTCTGTCTCTGCTGAGAGAAATTTTGGAGCTGGCTTTGCTCTTACAGCAAGGTGGACATGTGCTCATAACAGAATTGTCAGAATAGATTGTTATTACTGTTGTTAACCCGGGAAAGGGGGTTGCAGCTCCTACTGAGCCCGTCCTGTGGGAGAAGCTCCCCAGGGCGCAGAGGAGGTGGCAGGGGCTCAAGCGAGCCCCAGAGGACAAGTGTCCCCAGAGATTGACTGACACACCTGGAGGCTGAATAGCAAAAGGCTTCCGGTGCTGTTTCCCCAGCCATCAGATAGGAATAGACTAAGTACCTACGTGGGCCTCACTATGGTACAAACTGTCCCACGAATCAGGGACTTTTGCCTCGCTGTGGCAGGCGCAGGTGATAAACAATTTGACGATTCAACACAATGAGTTGAAGACAGGAAGCGGCACGCTGGAGACTGGTTTTGTTTGCACATCTCAACCAATCCGACTGTCAGTTCACTATTCAAAAAACAACAACATCACAGAATGGCTGAAAAGGCTCTCATTTGAGATGCCCTTCACTTCCTCTTTTGTTCCTCCCAATTTCGTGTTTTATCTGCAGAGGTTGCTGGATCAATTCAGACACCAAGAAACTCACCGACGTGGGCTCTAAACCTGAACAACAGACAACAAATCAAAGTTCAAGGTTGTGTAGCTGTATATGAACCAAACTTGCCTCACTAACCCTCGTCCCCTCCCCGCCCTCCCAGCCCCTCCCTCCCGTCCTCAGGTCCTTGCACCTTCTGGACTCAGCCCTCCTCTCTGGCTCTGTCTCTCTCTCCTCTCCTCCACTCCTTCCACAATAAAGCATGAGGTGTGTCCCTCGAAGTCTGCCTTTTCGGATATGCGTCCTTTCCTCAAGTTCAACGTCATTCCCTTCGTTATTCCGTGACGGGCTTTAAGGCTTTTAAAACATCTCCTGCAGCGCCTCAGTGTCCTGCCCGAAGCGGACGACGCGAGGCAGACGGGCGGGCCCAAGGCCCCGCCGCCCGCTTTCCCCTGTTCCCT